ATCTCTTAAATAGCACTGATCTCTAAGATCTCTGATCTCTTAGAATTTGTCTTCACTCCAGTGAGGCATGCCAGGCAGATTTAAGACACAACAATAAAACATTTCACGAGGAATGACGGCAGCCGAAAGCTTGGGAGAAGTTAGAATCGTTTATTGTGATGTGGAGATTTGGCGTAACCCGCTTGGCTGAGGGCCGACCTCCCGGCCGTTGGACGGGGAGGATAGGACCCCCATGAGACCAATTGGGCAGCTGCAAAGGTGGAGAGGGGGTGGAGGAGGGATGCAGAAAACGAACGAGGAAGAGGAGAGGGTGACGTTTGATATATATGGAGACCAGTTGCTTTACGTCAGAATTAGCGGGAATTGCGGCGGCTGTGTCGAATGAGCTCGGCTGCTTTCATTCCTCCCGAACTTTCATTAAAATCTCCATTAAATGGGTTGTATTTTAACTGGTTCTGCTTAAACTCTACATAATATGCATGTGTGTAGTTGGTTAAGTGCTTATTTAGAGTAACAAAAATTGTAAAAAGACTAAAAATACTCTAATTTTCATTAGATGTCAGACTGTTTTGGTGATGTTAGCTAATATTGCAGTTCTGGCACATTTCAGATGGAAACAGACTTTTAAAATGCTTTAATCAGGCCCAGAGAGCGGTAGTGCCGTAGCGTAAGGGGAACTGCACCAACTTCAGTTTCCCATTTCACAGCAGGGAACATAACAGTATTCAGCAAAGCCTCCAATAACATGTGGAGCTAGGGGTATTTGAACAATTTTTGCTTTATGTTCCTCATTTGGCATACATTTGTTGTCACATTTGGTCTTTTTCATGAATTACAGTGTGGCTTGTCCAATCTCTTTTTCGCAGGACAGGCTTGAGAAACAAATTGTGTAACATGACACTTGCTACTGAATTTAACAACTACAACTTAACATATGCTATAGACTGGCTCCCAGTATTGGTGTTTACAGCTCCCCACTGGGTTGCTTTGAGTCAGTCACACCAGGGGATGGGTACAAGCTCGACAATATTTTATATCTATTATGGTGCAAGTATGACTCGTATATCAACACTAGCATATTAAGCACACCATTCTGGAGACTGGGAATATGATCATAGCTCAAAGTGTTATGTTTCATTACGTATCAGGCAGATTGACCAAGGTTTTTGTGGATGTGGGCTAACATATACCTCTTTGTACTGTAGTATCGTGAACAAGGAAAGCATATTGATTCTTTTATGTTTTTATTTTATCTGTTAACGTATGTTATTCTGGGTTTCAGTCTCCAAATTACACTATAAGGTCACAGGAGATGAATGAGAAATAGGATTTAGGGCATATTTTTTCAGCAACAGTCCTGGGGCTTATCAAGCACTCCAGGCTTTTTATCTGAATATAATTTTCTTTAAGTTTGCACACCTATAATGTGTATAAAACTTTCCTCATCAGCTTTGTAATAATGGATTGGGGACTGTTTACCTTTTCCAGGAGCTAAATAGGCACTTTTTCCTTTCGCTATTTCATAAGTTCTTCACCCACTGAATGGAATAATTTTGCAAAAACAGCTCCCCTCATTGATAATATGATGGATCAATATCAAAATGAAGGTTGTGGTATCACTTTTCATTACAGCAATGGAACGTATTGGAAAGGTTGCCTTTTTAGGAGACCTGATCTAGGACATTGCCATTTTATTTCCAATGTAGGGCAATGCACTCTTAAAGGGGAACTGCAACACTATTTTTACATTTTGGGGTTATAATGAATCGGCAATGATGAAGCATTTTAAACCACAATGAACCTACCAAGCACATAGTAACTTGAAAAACTGACAAAGGAGACACAGTTTCAATGTACACAGAGTGCCATATTGCCATCATTTTCTGCAATTCAGAACGAGGCAGAAAAAACTTATGATGAAGTAAAAGCAGACTTACAACATTGTAAACATGCTTTAGATTATGCAAATTTTGCTACTATATTAATAGCAAATACTTTCATGAAACTAACACATACAAGATGAAATGTTTTAGTTACTTTTAAGTTTTGCAAAAATGAGCAAGCTGTCAACCAACTAAAATACACTCATAATAATTAATGTTTCTCATTCACTTACAGCAACTAGTGAACAAAAAGGGCCCATCATTTCACAAATCATGTAAATTCTCGCTCTTCACTGTAGCCAGACCAGCAATTTCTCGTCTGGCAGTGACAACACAGCGACCTTTCACAAAGGTCACAATTTTACACTTAATTCCAAATTGATCAAATTTTATGACACCATCAATTCAATTATTTTATTGTTTAGATTTAATAATCCGTCTGAGAATATAGGATTGCAGTTCCCCTTTAATGAATATGTTACTGCATGTGTGCCTGGAGTATAGACATACTGTATACACACAGATAATAGGGTTACCAACTATAGTATATTCACTAGATTAGCATGTAAGTGAAGGCTGTGTTCTCTCACCATTATTTTACTCCCTGTATGCCAACAACTGTACCTCCAGTGAACCCTCTGTGAAATGTCTAAAGTTTGCAGATGACCCCACCTTAGTCTTATCAGCAATAGAGACAAGGCCAGGTACAGAAGGGAAGTGGATCAACTGATGACATTGTGCATCATAAAAACCTCAAACCCAACTGTCTTAAACCAGTGAAAATGTTAATTGACTTTCGTAGAAACCCTCCAAACTCCAACCCCCTAGAAAATGGCGTGGCTGTTGTGAGTATGAGTCTTTCAAGATTCTAAGTACAACCATCTGTAACTCCCTCAAAGGGGATGCAAATGTTATCAACATCACAAAGAAAATGCATCAGAGATTGTATTTCCCGCACTAACTGAAAAATCTCAACTTTTCCCAACTCATTCTCATTCAGTTTTATAAAGCCATTATCGAGAGCATTCTGACAGCTTCTATAGCTGTTTGGTTTGTCAACACTTCAGTCGAATCTAGAAGCAAATTGCAAATGTCTGCTGTGCAGAGAGAATCATTGGCTGCCATCTGCCATCTATTGAAGACCTTTATAAGCTCAGACAAGAGATGTGAGCAGAAAAGACTGCCGATGACTCCTCTTATCCAGGACACCATTTGTTTTAAAAATTTGCTGCAGGGAGACATTACTAATCAATTAAAACCAAAACCTCCTGGCATATCAACAGCTTCTTCTTCATGACCGTCACCCAGCTTAACCAAAATACTGAACATGGGATGTTGTGTGTATATAATCATGGACCTGTGCATGTTCTTTATGTAATGTTTATATGTATTGTAACGCAACGGGGGCTCAGGCGGGCGCCCTTGCCGCATCTGGTCGGCCCCTGCACCGTCCGGGGCTCGAACCCGGGACTTCCGCGTCTCTCTGCAGCGACCTAGCCCCGTGAGCTAAAGAGAGATCTCCCTACAGCCCAGTAGCTGTAGTCCTGCTATCACAGGGAAGGGCGGTGACGTCACCTGCTCTGGTACGCCGGCTCTTACACACAGTGCTTGTCGGCCGTAAGCGTTACAGTATTATTGAATCATTCTATGTTTTGCACCAAGATATGAGATCAAATTCCTTGCACATGTAACGTACTTGGCAAATATAGTGATTCCGATTCACAATTGTTCTAAGCAGACCTTTCTAGTTTGCAACAGTATTTGTATGATTTGTAGTCAAAACATGTTTAAACCTCAAGGTTTGAGCTATTGTATTTAGAAATTTACCAAGCAAAGGTTGTGGTCATATTTTTCACCTGCACACGAAAGCACACATGACTAACATTTGGTAGTTAATGATATTTGAAATTGAGCTGTAAGTCTAAGTTAGGTTTGTTTATTCTCATGAGAAAAGGAATTCACTTAAAATACTGTAGCACCTTGAGAAGATTTCCTAAAACGGACAATGGGGATTCTTCAAAAACCTAATCAAATATCACATTATAATGTATGTCAAGGGTTTTTGTATATGACAATACTCAATCTTTCAGAAAATGTACATTGTAGATGGCCTGAAAACCTTCTGTGTTTGGAATATGATTTCAGGGGATTCTACTCTAAATTTTAGAGTAAGGAGCACATAAAATTAACAAAACACCAATAGAAATTGCCAAGTATAGTAAATTACCACAGAATATACTGAATGTGTATAACCTATTGTACAAAACCAAACACAGCATACATGCAAATACCCATTTAATCTTGCAGCAATGCAAATTTCCACAATGCAAATTCTTCTGGGAGTTAGAGTGCTGTTGTACTGAAGACCTTTTTTGTGATCTTTTAACTTTGAATGTCTAAACCAATTTCTAAAATCCTGAAATGAAGAAATTCAGTTTGAAATAGTTAATTTTGCAAACTTGCAGCCACTACTTTCAAATATATAGGTGCATTTACAATATCTTTCCAGGTGGTAGTCAGTAAACTGCACCAATTCTATTCTGAAATACAAAGAAAAAATGTTTTTATAAAAAGTGAATTAAATGTCCAATTTCCACCTGCCAAAATGCATTTGACACTAATGCAATTTCATCAACAAAAAAAGATTTCAGTTGTAATACAGTTAAACATGGTCCACTAGTTATATTATTAAAATGTTTTAATAACCACACTAGAATGTAAATATAGACATTTGATATTATGTTCACAAAAGTAACTTATATGTTCACTTGTACACTTATTATGCTCTTTGATTTTATTGTAGATGTTCTAATAGAATTAATAGCAAACGCTTTTATACTGAATACGTATCAATTTTGCTCTTTTGAAGAACTGATTCAACGTTGTACTTAGAAGCATTAATTTAAACAAATGACTTGCAATTACTTATTTTGTTCAATGCAAGTACCTGTACATAGGAGATTATGGTTAGACAAAAAACCTCACTGTTTGTTTTGAAAACAGGGACGTATTTCAGCAAGGCTCGTAGTCAAAACAGCAAACTGAAAGTGGAGTAGCTGAGTTTAGAAAGTTTAGGTCACGTGGTCGTGAAAAGTTTTGTTAACTTTTCGATAAACACTGTATTTTATAGCTGATGGAACCGATTTCTCTTCCGTAAAAGAAGCCACACCCTCTGAACACCAAATTCTTCAACGTAAGACAAGTAAGATCCTTTCTATGTGACTTTATTTGGCTAATTTAATGTAATTCTCATATTTCGGTGAGAAGAGATGATCAATTGGGGATTAACCTGCTGTGTTAGACAATAGCGAAGCTAGAACAGACAGCCTCTAAGAAACCAAGTGACAGTACTCATCAAACCAAGGTTTTTGTTTTAAATAACTATTTTGATCTATTTGCTGTTAACGTCTTATTTAAACTGGGGTTGAGGAATGCTTTCTGTTTTACCACTGTTGTGCGCGTTTCCAGTCGTTAAAGCCTAATAGGAGCTAAAGCCTAATGTTTTTTTTATATTCGCACCTGAAATAATGCCTTTCTTCCTCTTTCTCCGTTTTAATATATACAGTACAAGATATTCACATCTGTGTTTATAATATAGTTTTCTGACACAATTCCGGTTATATTGCCTTACATATCCGTAACAGAAATGTTTCAAGTCAGCCCGAATATCAACCGTTTTCATTAAACTCATGTTCCTAATGTATGACAGAAAATCTGTGGTACTCTACGGGTGGCGGCGACAACGGAACAAATACTTAAAAATAAAACAGTGAATCGTTTGCTATGGGAGTTACGAATTTCATATACTCAGTGTATGTAAAAATACTTTTTTTAAATTTAGATTAGGCTGTTGTTTATTCAGCAGCAGTATTCTGTATTACCCAGTTTAATGCGTAAGCCTGGCAAATTTTTATGGAGCAATATTTTAAGCAGATCGTAGATACAGTACGTGTTTCGGTAAAGGTCAAATGATCTTTGGTTCATTTGGCTATCGTCTTAACATGGGCAAAAAAACTTTTACAATGACTTTTTAGTTGAAATGGAAATGAAAAACGAAACAAAAAATAAAGATGCATTGTTTCACATCACATTTACGTGAGATCGGGAAAAAGCAGAATTTGGAAAACAGAAGTATAATGTCAAGTCAATCGTTTTTCCACACGGTTAAAAAAAGTACAATGAGTAACTCCAGCAATGTATATATATATAAAAGATTTTAGTTGTTTGCATTTTACCAGCGATTAATTAGGAACCTACGGTCCTCTCACAACGTAATCCACTAATATTCAGAAAATGATCACATGTACTGTAGGTGATGAGGTAAGAAATGCAGTGCTGCTTATAAGAAGATATGAACGTAGACTATCAACTCGTCATTTTCCCTTTCGCTTGGTAGCATGAAACGTTTCAGTACGTGTTCTGAAAGTGAATGCTAGGAAGCTTTACTGTTGAAAAGCTTCGCTGTTGTTTATCCTTCAGTCGCCAAGTTCGCTTACTTTTATTTTCAACGTTTTCATTATAGTAAAAACAAACTTATAAGTTATATATGTATAACTTAATTGTATATTAGGTCATACAAAGGCAAAATATACCCCTAAACCTGTTATGCATTCCCCAATGTAATAATGTAAATAAAAGTTAAAAAAAAACTATTTGGAAATACTTATCTGAAACACTAAATATTTGGGGAGTGTAATATAAACAGGTAGGTGGTAGGACAAGAAATAACACAAACAGCAGGTGGGTCCATTTGTCTTGTTTTGCAGTTCCCTTGATTTCAGTTGTAGAAGTATGAATTGCTATGTAGGTTTGCTTTGGGATACGACTATTGCATTTTGTGTTTTTGGCCTTTTACCTTTCTGTGTTGAATAGTATTTGACTATATAAACAAAATCAACCTACAGAAAAGGAGTGGCTGCTGCTTAGCCTGTATGTTTATTGTTAAATTTGTTGCTACAGGACAGGATGGAATCCCTTTATTACAGTCTTTGCCCTGCCACTCCCCATCCCAAGTACCAGCCATGTCATGGAATGACACCCCTGGTTCATACAGTTTATGTGTGATGATCATGTGCAGAAACCAACACAATTTCACTCTGTGTTGCACCCACACCTTGCTCCATTCTTCCAGCTTCTACTATGGTCACTACAGTTTTCTTTTCCATACAGTGCATAAAAAGAAGACACATTCATTCTTTGTTGCTTCTTCAAACCTATACTTTTAATGCTACCAATATGATATTATACTTTAAGTGCACCTCTTATCACTACTTTCTTTTCTTGGATGCTATCCCATCTTGTAGAATTTATTGAACTCTTAGTAAAATCTGTATCTTACTGTGTGTCTTTAGAAACTCTTATGACAGTTAAGATCTAAAATGCATTGAGTTTATACGTGTATCTACAGTGCTGTGAAAAAGTATGAATAGGTGTGTGTTTTTCAACATATTTGCATGTATGGATATTTGATCTTCTTTTCATCAATATGGATAGATAAAGTTGGTCTAATTTAACAAATAACAATGAAAAATATTGTTTGCAATCATTTATTCAACACAAAAAAGTCAGAAATGCAATTGTGTGTTGTGGAAAAAATAAGTACACCCCCTGGCTTCAATAGCTGGTGTTGTCCCCTTTGGCAGAAATCACTTCTTGTAATTGTCTATCAGTCTCCTACATCGACTTGGAGAAATGTTTGCCCTCTCCTCCTTACAGAACTCCTTCAACTGTATGATGTTTGAGGGCTTTCTTGCATGTACTGCCCCCCCACAGCATTTCTATGGGGTTAAGATCTGGGCTTTGACTTGGCCATTCCCTCCATTTCTTCTTTTTGAGCCATTCTTTTGTGGATTTGCTTGAGTGTTTTGGGTCATTGTCTTGTTGCAAGGTCCACTTACGGTTCAGCTTCAGCTTTTTGACAGATGGCCTCACATTCTCCTCAAGTACTCTCTGGTGCAATGTGGAATTCATGGTTGACTCTATGATGGCATGCTGGCCAGGCCCTTAGGCAGAAAAGCAGCCCCACAGCATAATGCTTCCACCACCATGCTTTACAGTAGGTATGAGGCTGTTTTGGTCAAAGGCAGTTTGACCAAAACTCAATCAGGGTATTAGCTTTGATAGTTGGGCTACTTATTCCAGACACCCACAATGCTTTTGTCTAAAAAGTCTTTCTATCCTAATTTTTCCGTGCACTTTTCACTAATGTCTTCTGATTTGTGTTTTAATTGTTTATTTTAAAGACCTTCATTACTTTGACATCAGTCAATGTTTTTAAGGAGTTTGAAAACTTGAATCCGATTCCTTTATACTCCTCTCTGCTCAAGACTTAAATGGCTCCTTCAGTCTGTCATGTGCTCTTCTCTGGACAGATTTCAGAGCAGAAATATCACTTTTGGTGGTCTTTTGGGCTCTCAGATGCTCTTTTATGCTGGAATGTTCTGTTAATTCTTCTTTGGACTGTTTTCTGAGCACAACTATCTTTTTGTAAGTTTTTAACCAAAAATGAGATAAAAGCTCTAAATTATGTCCTACTAGTCCATTATAACTTTTACACTTTTTGCTTAATAGTCTGACATTAGATATTCCTTTTATTGCTTCCCCACAGTGTCTAGAAAATTAAAATCTCATGTCAACATAAATGTCTAAGTCTTTGTGACAGCATAAAAAGTAAAATAAAATGTCTTTTTTCATAAGTAGCAGCTGCGAGAGATCCTTTGAGCAATTAGACTAGACGAATGGCCTCTTCTGTAACCATTCATATTTATACTGTTTTTTTTCCCTCTCAATTACAGAACATGTAAACAAAGCAGCAGTAGAGTGTGGTTCCATCTTTTCTTACAGCTATGAGTTCTTTTGGTATTTTAGGTAACATCTCTATGATTTACCCTCACATCAGTTGTTCTATGAAATAATTTATTTGTGTATAGTATATGAAAGTAAAATTACTAACTTTCAACATTTCTGACATTTTTTTTTGCCCAGCAACCATGGGAAAAGGCAGCATGAAGAGATTCAAAGACAAGTATGGTGTGAAAACCAAGGCACCGATCAAAACTCCAAAATGTAAAACCACTCTTGGGAAGACCAAAAATAAGGTCAGTTAATCTCACATTTGCTGTTTTCCATGAAGCATTGAATCAGATTGAGTCACAAAAAAAACCCACAATTGTCATGCTTGTAACAAAAGCTCTGGAGAATGGATGGCCGCATCACCTTAGACCTTAGACATTTTAAAATTCTTATCGCTATAGTATATGATTGAACAATCTTGTGTTCACTCTCACTATCCTTTTTAATCACTGGGTTTTTATCAATTGTCATTAAAACCTGTGTATATGGATAGAGGTGCTAAATAGGCAATAATACATGGAAATATAACTTCAATTCATGTAAAAGATATCCAAGCATCTTCTTTTCTTGGTACATCTTATCTCTTATTTAAAGATGAAGACATCATCACATTAATTGAAGATACTTTACACACCGAATGAATCGTTTTAAAATAGTCATGGATTCATATATTACAATAACATTTGCCTTAAATTATTAGGGTAACTATTTTACAGTAAAAATCATCTGAAAGTTGTTTAATAACTCTTATTAAATAATGTCATATTAATAAAATAGAAAAGCTTATGTGTTACTGGTGATCATAGACCCTACATATGGGTTTTTTATCTTATACCATTGTGAGGTATAGATGCGGCACAATTGTAAAAAATGAATTAACGAACGACTAAATATAATTAATGAAACCTTTGCATTTCTCATGGTCTAAGAAATATGAGTAGGATATAGGTGGCCTAAAAGACAATGATCAAAGGTGATCGTCTGGGGAATTACTCAGGTTAATCATAATAAGAGTAAACATTAAAAATCCTGAAATACGGGGTAGAAAGACACAGGAGAGTCAGTCAGGGAGACAGGATAGAGAGATTGGAGGAAGGAAACAGAGAAAGAAGAAGCTTGCCAGGTGAGAGGACCTTGGATAAAACAGATTCCAGCTAAATATGAACCTTCAGGAAAGTCAGATTCCATCCATGAGGAATCCCGAGGCTAGAGAAGTTCTCTCCTGGTTAGCGATGCATTTTTTAAAACAGGGAGATTTCCATTGACTTTGGAACATTCAGATTTACAGTAGCTCTAGGTTGTATACTTTTTTTATTTAGGACACAAGGTCATCTCTTTTTCAGCCTGTTCAGACATTATATAAGATTTTTGAGTACTGAGTTAGCAGTCTAGGTTTTTTTTTCTGGGTCATCAGGACATACAGTAGGCCTCTGAGATGCATTGCTTATAAATAACATTATGCTTAATGCTGTATATGTTTAACATTGCGTATCATCTAGTTACTGTTAACATTTTTTTTATCCTAGTTTACCTCTGATTTATTACTCTTTCACTAGAACATTTGCCAAAGGATAAAGAGGTCAGGTGCCTTAATCTATTATAACATCAGGTATATTCTTGATACATCTTTAATGGTTTGGGGGTTATTATTTATTTCAGTCATTGATTATCCCACTCAAGTTCTCCGTTTTGTTAGCCCTCTATTTATAACAACATCTATGAAATAAAGCTAAATACATAAAATCGCATCACACTACAGTAAACTAGTGTGATGCCTCATTGATAATCATGAAACTAAGAATTGTGTGTGATGAGACGACTTTAACATGAGCTTTCATATCATAATATTCATTTTTCCCATCATGTACTTCACATCTACTTTTTGTGAATTTATATTCTGTGAAAATGTTGTTAGAAAAGCAGAATAAAAAATCAAACATTATTTAGTTCAGGTGGTTAGCTGCGTCAGCATGCACATGCAGCAAAGGAACAAGTAATAGATTTATTACTTTACTACTACTTTATTACTACTGAAAAGAGAAGAAGGAAAACACAACTGTTTCGACTATGTAGCATTCTCCGTGTCTAAGAAACATAGGGCAACACAACGTTTCGGTTGTGAAGCCTTCTTCACCTGTAAGAAAGATAGGGCATCCCCAGGTATCCCAATTTTACATTACATTTTATATAACAACATGTTAGGGCTGTGAAGATTAAAGATTTCTCCAAGCCCATAGTTTCTCATCTCACCTCTGACGGCCATGATCACACTGATCTCTCCATCTGCATTCACAAAGTAGGGTTTCTTAACTCCTGTAGCAGAAAGACATCAGAAACTAAAATCATCCTGAAACTTGGTTCACACCTTCCCCTTTCTCTCAACGGCAGACTTTTCTTCTAATTCTCTCTATTCATTTGTTTCCCACCTCTCCTTATCTCTCTCGACCTCACACCATTTGATTGGCCACTCCCGCCTCCTCCTCTCTCCTGGCTTTTGTTTTCCCATGCTATATTATCTTTGCTGACTGCCCTATCTTTCTTATACCCTAAGAAAGCTCCATGGCCGAAATGTTGTGTTTTCTTTCTTCTCTTTTCAGCATGGAATAAACCTATTGCTTGTTCCTTTGCATATTATTTAGCTGCTAAAATTATCAGTGGTGGGCAGAAAGCACCTCTTCTTTTCATAACCAACTTTTAAGACACCTTCACACAAGCTTAACACTTAAGAGATATAAGCTAAATACAGCATAAGAAGCTGTGATGTCATTGTGATGTTTTTTGCTCCTAAAATCATTTTTCAAACCTTAGTAGGTCACGTAAGAACACAAATAAGGCTACAAATGAGGATTCCATTTGGCCCGTTTAGCCTGTGTGATAGTAGTTAATTAGTCCAAGGATCTTATCCTGACATTTCTAGAAAGAAGTGAGATTATCAAGGGACGTTTGGCAGAGAGGTTTGTTTCACACTCCTACAATACTTTTGGTCACTTCTTTATGTGCTTTCTGTTCTGTGATATATGATGTGAGTGCACTTAATGAGCAAAAACATTGTCAGTGTGGCACTTATTTCCTATTTCAGATAATTTCAGTCTCAGGAGAGGCAGAACCTATCAGCAAGCAATAGGTGAAAGGAGTGTAAGCCCCTGAGTGGGACCCCGGACCATCACAGGACATATACAGACACAGACATGAACACGTTTAGATAGAATGTCAATAGGAAAGCCAATAAAAGCCAATTAAAAATTTCCCAGAAGCCAGTGAACCTGCCAGTATGTTTTTGGAGTGTGGGAAGAAACTGGAGCACCCATAGGAAACCCACGTGAACAAAGGGAGAACATACAAACTCCACTCAGATCGTGCCCCAGATCAGGAATTGAATCAGGAATGAACTACTGTGCCACAAAGCCATCCTATTTCATAATACAAATAAGGAAACAGTTGCATTAAGTATCATATCAATGTTTTACACACACTGCATTGACTGCCTATGTGAGAGAAATGGGAAATATTTTCTCTTAAGAGTTTTTGTTCATAATGATGATGTCAGCTTCAATCTACTTCCTTCTATTAAAATAGTAATACTGTATTTCCCCTGTGGTTTTCTGCAGTTTACCAATGTGGCTAAAAGATTTCTCATCTTAAATTAGTTACATCTCACCTATCTTTATATCACCTACTGTAATATTGCACATTTATTTTGTGGTTCATTTAGGTAATAAGGAATATTAGGATTTAGTTTATGTTCTTGCAACTTAAATTTGTCAAAGATTCACCCAACAACTAGGCAAAGTACTGTATAAATGATACTATTCAGAAAGTAGAAAGACTATTCCGTATTTCAACATATTATTCTATTATAGTAGTGAATTCATTTAAACCACTGGCGGATTAAGATTTTGGCAAGGGTACAAAAAATTGTGTTCCTAATGGATTTTAAATGAAAGTCCGAAGTAAACAATTAGAGGATATGTTTATAATGCAAGGATTTATGGGGTAATATATCACATAATAGATTTGGGAAATGGGAAACTTAATCCTTAGGGACAGGAAAAGCAACATATGGTGTACTAAAGCACTGCCTTAAAGCAGTTTTTTTTATTGAAGGAGAGTAGTTAACAACTCAGTGTCAGCTCCGTTAAAATGCATTAAAAATGAAAACAAATCAAAAGTCACATGAGTAAACCAACCACTTTTCAGATGTTTTTAATTTATCATTATTAAGCATAACCTGCCATGCCTGCTTGATCCCTGATGCCCATAAATCTTTTAAGATAATGGGGCCAGTAAAACACTATGGTTTTGTAAGAAAATGCTACCGAAGTGGTATTTGTGTAAGTGTGTGTTACAGGTACAGTAGCTTAGTCTGATTTAGAGAACCATGTTTAGCTTGCACAATATATAATTGTCCTGTATACAAAAATATTAATAATTTTATGACTTTTTGTTTCTTTATATATCATTCCCATATGGAATACATCAATTGCTAATCAACCTGTCTTTACTGCTGTGGTCATATCCTCATGAGAGGGCATAGGTAAGTGGTTTGCTCTAGATGGCTTGTCAGAGTCATTCACCATTTGGTCATTGTGAGGTCCACTGTACCTGAATGAGACTTACCTTTGATAAAATAAGTGTATTAAAATAGTGTACCTTTGATCAAAAGATATGTATCTTGCTGACACCAGCACTGAAAGTTTTAGCTGGCACATGACTTCACTGCTATATTTGTGCTGCTGATGTTCCTAAAACACAAAGCCCATCAGACCCTGGCCACTCTATATTTTAAGAACCTTTGATTATGTGTGGGTAACAATCCACAAGTGAGTTTGGTAATGTTTACACTTAAAGAGCTCAAATTGGCATTCCAAATGAGTGCAAAAGATCCTTAAACCTCTTAATTTGGCGAGTTGTCCTGATTAATATAAATTATACAGCCTCTGTCTTTTACCCAAAGATAACACACATGTTTCCTCTTTAAATACTGAATTTATACAGTTTTTCCACCCCTTAGGTAGCCACACTGAAGTGCACACATGATTAACACCTGTGAATCTGTGTTCTAATTGGACAGATACCATAAATTTAGTTTGTTTTAGTTGTCTTGTGGAACTAAAGCAGAGGTATAAATAATCCAAAAAACACAAAATGGGAGGATGATAACCTGATATTTTGCGTAAAACATTTAAAAACAAAGCATTTATTTATTTTTTCACCACTAGATGGGGCTTCTCTCTTTTCGTTATAG